TTAAACCGTGGGCCGGGGGGAGCCGGGGGGGGCCCGCATTCAACTGCCCGGGACAATATCTTTTCTCTCGCCCCGGCATCGCCGGGGCGTCCCGGCTCCCTTTTCCCCCTCTCGGATTTTCTGTTCCTCTCTTAATTTACCATGAAGGCTAATTCCATTTCCATTCACTATATGTCAACCATCTCATCTCCCCATTTTGTAAGAGGAATTCCTGGGCCCTTTTAAACAAGCCCTTGCGCCATTCAGGCACAATGTACCGCTACAGCATTCCTAAAGGACTAATGAATTTAGAATTAGCAATTTCTTTCTAGTTGAGTTTAATGAATGCAGATCACTTTAACAGCATGACAAATTGCTGGATGGGCCGAAATAGACACCATTTAACCTACTTTCTCAGCCCCGCTCCCTCGCCCGGCCCGGGCTGCTTTTCCCAGGTATCTTCTCAATGCCCTGGGGGGAACCTTGTACCGCTTTGTAGGAGCCCGGTTGGGCGTTTCAAAGGCTCAGCCCCGGGATTTGGGTCCCCTCTGTTCCCTCCCCGGGTCCCCTGCGGTGGGGCGGGCTGGGGGTGAATGGAAGGAGGGCGGCAGGTCCCGGTCCGAGCCCCCTCCCGCCGCCCGCAGAGGTGCAGAAGCTGTCCAGCCTGGTGCTGCCGTCGGAAGTGATCATCGCCCAGAGCTCCATCCCCGGCGAAGGGCTCGGCATCTTCTCCAAGACCTGGATCAAAGCTGGCACCGAGATGGGACCGTTCACGGGCAGGGTCATCTCACCCGAGCATGTGGACCTGTGCAAGAACAACAACCTCATGTGGGAGGTAACGACACCCCGTGTATCCCCAGCCCCAGGGAGCAGCAGGGACCCGGTCCTGGGGCTCGCAGGCTTTGCCCTGTGCCTGTGTGCTGCCAGGCACCCTCCCCGTGCCTCAGTTTCCCCGTTCGTGCAAATTCTGGCTTCCTCCAGGGCAGGTGGGTTTAAGAGACCCAAGGGCTTCTTCAGTTCTCAGGGTACAGCCAGCTCTCGGAGGAGCCCCAAAAAGCTGTTGCTCATGTCCCACGCAGCAGGATCACACCCTGCCCTTCCCTGTGCACAGTGCATGAAACCAGCTCTGCCTTGTCGCCTGTTTTGTCCTAGCCCTGGTGCTGTTAACCTCAGGTGAAGCCATGGGGTTCTGACCTGCCAGGGCATCGCGGGTTGATGCCTGACTGGTAGAGGGGTCTTTTCCTCTCTTTATTTGTATTTGTTTCACTGAGCGTCAGACTTGCACTTCTTAATTATTTTTATAAATTTATGCCTAATAGAAACTTGCCTCTCCTTTTCCTACCACCCTGCAAAGCTTCTTCCCCTGAGGGCCAGGTCTGGGAGGCACCATTCCAGGGACATCCCAACTCCCATGGGCAGCAGCAGGACGCCAAGCTGCTGGTGGGGCCCTTCTGGGAAGGGGGATTGAGGCCAGGAGCTGTGTTATCCCCATGGGCATGGGCTGGTGGGGCCAGCCATGCCTGCCCAGCAAGAGCAGGGCTCCTTTCTTCAGCTCCTGTCTGGCTGTGTGGTCCAGCACCATGAGCAGGAAGGGTTTGGGCAGGGTCCAAATGCTGCGCTGGCTTTGAGCTTGTCCCTTGTGCATTCAGGGATGTTATCCCAGATGCAGGAGGTGGTGGGGCTCAGCTCGTTGTGGGCAGCATCGCTACCAAACGCTCTTTCCCCTTCCCAGGTCTTCAATGAAGATGGCACGGTGCGGTACTTCATCGATGCCAGCCAGGAGGACCACCGCAGCTGGATGACCTACATCAAATGTGCGCGGAATGAGCAGGAGCAGAACCTGGAGGTGGTCCAGATTGGGAACAGCATCTTCTACAAGGCCATTGAGGTAAGTGGGGCAAAGAGCAGCAGCAGGAGGGGACGACCTACCCCAGAGACCCTCCCTTGTTCTTTGGGCTGTTGCTGGGTGTGTCTGGGAGCACAGGGCAGCGTTGCTGTCCCCAGCATCCAGACCTCCTGGCACAGGAAGGCACCGCAGGGAATGGCCATCGCGTGGGCTTCAGGGAGCAGCAAAGGGCTCTTCTCCTCTCTGTCCCCTTTCGGTGGACTCGTGGGGTGATGTGTGCTGAGCAGAGGGGGAGCAAACGCTGACCAAGCTTGTTTTGGGGTGTAAAGCGTAAGAGCCAGGATCCTGTCCCAGGCAGGGCTTCGGGCAGGAGCAGGGTTTGATTCTGTCTTGATTTTTGTGCAGAACCCACTTCTCTGTAGCAGGGGAAGTCTGGGGGGTTCTCTGGAACCCCAGTGCTGAGCGCGGACTGTGCCTGACTGCACCGTTTTTGCCTGGGGGTCACAAGAGACTCTGGCTGTGAACAGCAGGAGAGGAGGATGAGGGCTGCAGTAGCCAGGCAGGGAGCGGTGCTGGAACTGCCGTGCCTTGGGCTTTCCGCAGTGGGGAACAGACTCGCCCTGCCTGGCTCGTCCACGTTCTCCTGTACCAAATGCTGCCAGGGGAGTGGGTCCCAGGGGTGTCCCAGGGCACAGGCTGTTGTGCTGTGGGATTAAGGCTGGAGGTATCCACAGCTTCCTATGGGAGATGTTGGGACGGAGATGAGAGCCTGGCTCCCTAGCCTTACGGATGCCACGTACGCACAAGTCACACAGCAACAGCAGTGTGACAGTGGGGACCAGCCCTGCTCGTTTGCAGTGTCCCCATAACCCAATGCTGTTGCAGGTGGAGAAAGGTGGTAGCTTGGGGAGGTGTCACAAGAGGGAACATCTCTCATTCCTTCCCAGACCAGCACTGTGGGACCGTTCCTCTCTGGTATTGGGTCCAGAGCTGTAGGGGCTCCTGTCCTGCTTTTAGCTGGGAAGGAGCGCAGGTGTCACTGGTTCTTTGGGAAGGGCAGCTCCTGGGATCAACCTGGGCTCCTATGCTGTCTTACAGAAGAGCAGATGCTCAAATGCTCCACAGCACAGGACCATGGCCCAATCCTGCACCGAGCCATCATCAACACTAGGTGTGGGATTGCTGCAGCAGGATGGGAAAAGCATGTTGGGTGGGTAAGAAGAGAGCAGGTGGTGTGCTGTGGGAAAGTTCCGTCTCCCTCTCAGGGTTCTGCTGCCTTTCCCCATGCAGCGCTGTGAGCAAGAGCCCCAAGTGCTCCTGTGCTGCTCTCCCCATCCTGGACACCCCTCCATAGGCTTCAACTGTGCCCAGTTTTAAGACCTGATATTCCTGTGGGCAGCTGTGCATGTTGTGACAGCAGCTTAACTGCTTTTTATTATTGTTCTTAAATTTTGTAAAGAAGTAAAATAATTCCATGCAGCCGTGGTGTAAAAGCAGGAATTCAGCCGTGTGTCTCGCACCTCGTGTGAGCACGGACAACGGGGCAGGTGAGCTGATATCTTGGGGAGTACATGTAGAGGCCCCGTTATAATCATGGTCAGTCTGTGGGCTTGTTCCTGGTGCTGAAGCAGTGAGCACCAGAGCAGGACAAGTTCAATTCTTTTTTCATGAGCAGTGAACTTGAAATGTTGAGAGTGATGAACCCCAAGTGATGAGGAGGACTATGTGTGAGGATGAAGGGCGCCCGTGGCATGGTGCTCCTGCTTTCATTGCCACCGGGTCAGCACAAGAGGAGCAGAAAGGGCTGAGGCTTTCCATGTGTGACTGCAAGGAAGGGAAGCAAGGAGTGTTTGAGGAGCTGGGTCGCAGCCAGGCATGACAGGTTGAGGATGTGCATTTTCTGTGGGCTCCCCATATCCCCTGTACGCCACATACACATGCATGCACACACACATGCGGTCCAAAAGTGATCGCTTGTTCCAACTCATTGGAGTTTGAGCACCCAACAAGAAATGGAAAAGGAGAGGATTTTCCTTTTGTGGTTCTCTCTCTGCTCATCAGTCCCCTAATGTGAAGTCGTGGGCACACAGATATCCACATCTTGGACTGCAGCAAGCCCCTGTTGTTACCCATTCTTCTGCCTTGTCACTTCCCTTGCCACAAACCCTGGACTGAGAGCACAGCATCAGCCTGAGAAGAGCCAGAACTGCTTGATCTTGCGCAGGATATGCAAACTGTGACTTGAACTTGGTGGTGCCATGCATGGGCACCGTCACCCTCCATCCCCTGCCAGCCCTGGGGAGCTCATCCACCTCCTTTCACCCCCTCCATGCAAAGCCTCCTGCCCGCTCCATCCCCTTCCCAACGGGCACAATGTTCAGATTTATTTTGTGCCTTTTTTGGTATTTGCCTTTAATATCTCCATGTGTTTTGCCTGTTCCTGCCCTCAACAATTCCAAGTTGCTGCTGCTGGAAAATAGTTTTGGCTTTTGATCTGAAGGCCATGAGATTCTGGGGAGGGGAGGCCAGCTTAAATTGCTTTGGGGTGTAAGCACACGAGTGTGCACCTGCTGTTGGTGTAGGTGCTCCAGTTCCAGCAGAATAAAACCTGCACACACACGTATGCAATGTGTTGTATCCTTTCAGCAATCTTTTATTCTATTTGCTTGTATTAAAGATAAGTAATTTTCTGCTAAGAGAAAATGAAATGGCACCAACTTGGGATGATATTGCCTTTCCCTGCCTCCCATATTCCTATTCTGCAGCCTCAGTGAGGTCTTTATGCAGATGGACACTTAAACATATGAAGTCAAATTCCTACTGCTTTCAGGTGCCTAAAATGAGACACATTTTCAGTGTCTGGGTGATCCAGCTTATGAGCTATGTTTCATGTGGATGTTATTCTTCTTGGTCTACTTGTGTGTGGAACGCTGTCCTCTGAAATGCAGGAGTTTCCCATTTCTAAAGTACGTTTTTAATGGCAGGGACCTGCAAGGAGAAAATGAGTGTTTTATAAAGTGATGTTGTTATTAGTGTTGCCTGAATCAGTGTCAGAGCATCCGTCTTCCCAGCCATGGCTGCTTCGTGCGGGGAAGCTTGAACGGTGTTTCCTGGCTGCTTGCTCCAACAGTGCAGAAATGTAGCAGGAGCAATGCCATCATTTCAGGAAAACAGGAGCATGGGTGGTGCGCGATCCATTCCCTGGCACTGTAGATCTTTGGCTGCTGCAGATGCCATGGCCTTGGTGTGGGATGTAGGCAGCATCATGCACCCAAACTACGCTCTCCTATAGCAGCTCGCGAGCTCTCCTCTGATCCCTGGGCTGAAGAGCCCTTTGCTGGCACATCTGCAATTCCATCTTCTAAAATAAGCCCTGGTAGGGTCGGGTGGGAATTGCTGCCTGTGCCCTGCAGTAGGAAGGTGCTGGTGGCTCTGTCCAGAACCAAAATGCTTTGCAGGAGCACTGCTCTGGTGCTCCGTGCCATGGCTCCTTGCTTTAGTCTGTCACTTGTGCCTCATTGAAGTTCATGGGTCCGCACATGATTTAGTCTCCATGTCACTATGTGCCTCCTTGTCTTTGAGAGCTGTGGGGGACCTCTGCATCCTTCACTCCAGAGACTCCTGTGTGCTCTGTAGCTGCTTATTTGCCTGTCATGTTTGTGGCCCAGCCTGGGGAAGAGCCCAGTGCAGGTTTGTGCCGGCGGTGGATGATGCTGAGCTGTGGCATTGCGTCCAGTGCTGCCGTGTGGGCTGTCCTGTGCCTGCTGGGCAGTGCTGGGGACCCCTGGCAGGTCCCAGACGGCAGCAGGGTCTCGCAGGAGATGGACTGTAGCTGGGGTAGTTCTGAAGCGACCATTCAAGGATGTTCATCTCTGTTCATTGCCGCTCCCGACACCCTCGTCTGTATCTCTCTTCATAGATGATTCCTCCGGACCAAGAGCTGCTGGTCTGGTATGGGAACTCCCATAACACTTTTCTGGGCATCCCGGGCGTGCCAGGGCTGGAAGAGGAGCAGAAGAAGAACAAACATGGTAGGTAACATCGGAAACAGCCTTGGGT